TGGGTTCTGGACTGGAAGGAGTAGTAAAAGTGCCACCAAATCAGGCAACTTTTATGGGTATTTTGTACTTTTTACTTCTGGCTCCAATGAATTTCAATGAGCCACCCGGGTATGAGCTGAGATTTATTAAAAATGCCTGACCATATTTCGAGACATTTAATTAGGGAAATTTTCTGCCGCAAAAACTAATCAATGTTAATCCATTTCTAACGAGCCCTCGTTAGGAGCACCCCGAGGAAAAACACACTCGTTCCATACACACTCACATCGTTCCTGATGCCTTCTGAATAGCATCATCAAAATTCCTGTGCCTGCAAACTTCCAAGTCATCAAATTGCATGCCAAACTTGTTGTTGTTGCCCCTGGTATTTAACGATAATGTGCCCCATATCGAGACCATAAGCAGATATATACTAACTGCCATATAGACAGATATAAACCGAAAAATTGGGCCAACGAATTTGCCTTCAATTCAGCTTTTTTGCCTTTGCTTGCTACTCACATACATTTGAATGGGTGTCTAAGGGGCGTTTAAGGCGATTTCATTACACTTTGTGACATTGTACATTGAGTTAAGTTTTTCCTAAAAATAGGCACGAGGGTTGTCATTAATAATGAATTTATAAAGGGTCTTAAATTACTTATTGATCTTAAGATTTATTAATATTATTTTCACAAACATTCTCCATAGACCTGGCATATGTGTATAATCAAAACCATGGCAATTCGTATTTGTCTAATTAATTTTTCAATTCGAAACTGCCCTCGCTTGTGGCATTTCCTTTTGGATGCCCCAATGCCATTCCTTAAGAATGTTCGCTGGCTTGCTCATGTTAAATATTTGTTTTCGAAATATGTGTTAAATTCTCTATGCACAGCGCCATTTCCCCGATTGCTCTCTTGGTTCCACTGCTCCATTCTGCGGTATTTTTGGATGAAATAGAACTCTTTGCTTGCAGCAGGAGCAGCTCTCGGTTGGCCAAAACTTTGTAAACAAAAACACACACAGAATATATAAATGCCAGCATCAGGCACTGGATTTTGCAGAAGGATAAAATGTGGGGGACAGAAGCGGCGGCGGTGGTAGGTCAGGAGCCAAGACCCAGGATTTGCTCTTTCGGTGGCTGTGCTGACAAAATCCTTTCGTGAGAGCAAAATGTATATATATTTAACTGTTTGGCATATTATGGCTTTTATATTGAGTTGTTTTGGACTTATCTAGTTTACTGCCGAACGGATTGGGCCAAATGGGATGAAACTTGTCAAAGCTCCTCGTGGCACAAAATATTCTTTATGGCTGGCATTACAATTTGTCCAGATAAGACCAAGAGCACAGTGGTTCAGGCTAATTTCCAGGGGGGGGGGTTCACTGGAGATGGCCTGAATATTTTGCATTTAAGGGGAATTTCAAGAATAATAACCATACTCCAATGACTCACTCTGGAGTAAGGTACTGAAAGTTATAGATGAGCTTTTCAGTTACTCCTTTAAGAAATGCAACACTGTAAATCACATATATTCTTTACTATTTGCCCAGCTAAGGTGGGCCGTGTTCGGGCTAATTTCCAGGAATCAGAGGACACGGCCCGATAATGTTGCATAAATTACGTAAACGTACACGCAAGAAATGTAAATCATTTGTAAAGTGACTCGGCTAAGTGGTTGGCCTGGATGGGTTGGCTCAAATGCCAACTGAGTGGCTGCAGATAGGAGAGCATTAACATAAATTACCTTGCACGAGGATGCGACGATCCCGGGCTCCTTCAGCTCCTCCTCCGTTCCCTTAAGACCGCAACGTGCCGGCAGCAGCAATCAGACAATGCCAGACACTGGCATACAGAGAGACGAGACGCACACGAGGAGACTTGGGATGCTGCTGCAGGATGCAGGACAACACAAACACAAAGGCATAGAAATGAAGTGGTTAAGTGGTCCAAGGACCACCACCCCGTACATTGGACATCGGACAGACGCAGGAGTCACGCACGCAGTTTCAACTTTACAGGATGTTTCAGCAGCAGCAAGACGAATCCCTGCACATTTCCTATGTGCCCCCAGTTGCAGCTCCAGCTCCAGCGCCTGCTCCTGCTCCTGATCCTGTGCCGGCGGATGAGGTACGTGACACGCTGGCATGTCCTGTCCGATGTCCCGGTGGAAGAGGACCTCCTGCTGTTGTCGGCGTAGTCGGTTGCAGTAGCGGCGAATCTAGGCTTCCATTCCCACTGCCTCCCGCTCCCGGAGGAAGTGAACCCACTGCGGCCGCAGCACTGCTGGTGGCGCGTGTCAGGAACCAACAGTCCATGGGCGTCGGCTTGCCCTTCATGATGACCGGACCACGGTACTCCAAGTTGAATGAATCATCCTGGTTGATCGCCAGACAGAGGAGCCTGCAAATAAGAAGGCAAAACATTTATTGCAGAGGGCGAAAAAAATATGCTGTCATCTGAAGAGGAATGGTTTTTTAAAAACTTCTGTCAAAAGTTATCTTTTAAAATATGTTTTCCATAACACTTTGGAAGGAAAAGCAAAAAATATGTGTCTTTTGGCCCCTAGAAAATATTATGATTTATGCTTAGTTAACTTTCCAGATAGCCTTGCTAAAGTCAGCTTAAAAATTCAGTAAACAACAATATTAATTACTCAAAGAAATTTGATTTAGGTTCTTGTTTGGCTTTTGCGTCGATTTATTATTGTCTTAGGAACAAGATACGATTTAATTATTTGCTTAACTGACTCGATTCCTGTATCGCAAGAAAAGTCTGACCATGAGCTTATCTAAGCTAAAAATATAAGAGAGAAACCCTTCGGAAAAGATGCAGTTTGTAGGTCTTGTGAGATTTTTTAAGTGTAAGCCTTAAAGAATGTCACTGCTGGAGTGCTGTCATAAATCCGAGTTATTTTCCTGAAGTCGGCATGAGTGCTTACGATGCACTCGGAATGATGCATATCTCTGGAGTAATAATTTTGCCAATCTCTTCACCAATAAATTGCTGTCGTAATTTCTCGCCGTGCGACACTGTTGGCCAACTTTTAGATTGCATCGCAGGGTATTATGTAAATTCGCTTATTGCGCTTTATTTGCCCGCACATTTGGATGCCAGAAACGGAAGCTGAATAAAAATTTCGCCAGGCTTTTGTGTGTGCGGATGCATTTCCGCTTCCGCTACGGCTTCCAGCGACCGCAGCCCACATATTGTTGCATTTATGGACACACAACATATATGTATATCTGATGATTGCATATGCATTTAATTCAATTTATTTGTACCCTTTGGGCGACTCATGGCCACAATTGCATTGCCGATGACCGCGCTTTTAATTAGCGCTCAGGTGAGCTCTGATCAGGTGAAAATATGGTCGGAAAATCAGCAACAGCAGTAGCACAGATACTCCCTTTTAATGGACCTGGCTTAATTACACGCATTTTCCGTATGCCCTTCATATTTATTTGCATACGCGATTAAGGCGGAGGACCCGAAAAGTCTCCGCCAGACATTATTATCCCGTCATCATCTCATTGTCTTTGCGGATCCGGATCCGGATTCGAGTCCGGATCCATGTGTGCGTTCTTAATTAATGTTTATGGCTGTGCTTAAATATTTACCCAACGCTTAATTGTCAGTCCAAATATTAAACGTGTTAATATTGCCACCCGCACATGGAATGAGTGCTTGAATAATTTATGCATGTGTAAATTGATATGTGCGCTGCGTAAGCAAAAAATAATTGGGAAAAGGGATAGAAAAAGGTGTAAACAATGCCCTCGACTATTATTTTAAATTTTAAATAAATTCATGTGAGCATAGAAATTTACAATTCATTTGGAAACTTATTTAGCACTTCTGTAATTGATTGTTATAAGAGGTACAAATAAGAAACATTGTTTGTTCAATTTAATTTTAAATTGAATTTTCATTTACCAGAAAATTAGCATATTAAGTGGAAATTGGAATTAATTTACGAAATCCGAAAGAAAAGCTTTGTAAGCCTTGAAATGTTTTTTCGTTAGCTGGGTAATCAATAAGAAAAACACAAACAAATAAATTGATTGCCAAGCGCTAAATTAGCTGGAAAATATAACTAAAAGGAGACAGTTCTGGGTATTTATGAGTCACCTTTGGCTGGGAGATCAAGTTACTCATTAACATAAACAAAAAGATCTGCTAACTTCGGCAAATAGAGTTTTATACACACTTATATACGTTGAAATCTAGAATAAAATTTTTATAAATTAAGATTTAATCTCGCTTTGCCTATTGTCCAACCTACAAATCTTATATAGTCTTGGTCAACATCAACAGATTAGTGTATTTAGCCGTGTTGTCTAAAAAATGAAATCCGGTTATGGCTAAATTGGTTCGGCTGTTGATGCCTAACAAGAGAATATACGCTTTAGGGTGGATAATAATTCGTTCTTAGCAAATTTCCAACTAACAAATAATAACGCTGAATAAGCTAACACAGAGCAAAAACTGTTTTTGAATTAATTTCGTATTTAACTAAAAAATATTACTCTTTAAAGTTGATTGTTGTCCAAAATGTACATTTAAAATTAATTTTATCATCTGCCAAATGTATACAAATATTAAAAGAACGTAAGGATTACACTTAAAGCCCATCAAATAAATACTTTAATTGGCAATACAATTTAATATGCCATAGGAAAACAGTTTAGCTGTGTAAATGTTGTAATTTTCATATTGATTAAGCAAACAAATCGGATTATTATTTTATTACCCAACCATTTACCCATTTACGCCCAACAAAATGTGTGTAAAATGTGTGAATATATTTTTGAAATGTCATTTTAATACCGCTTTATGCCTATGAACCTCCATTAAATCGCTTTAATGTTTTCTGTGTATTAAAAGAGAGAGTTAGAGCGGAAAATAGAGAGCAAAGGCAAGAGAGTGAAAATATAAGAATGAGGGTGTAGGTGGAAACAGCTGAGCGCTGGAAGAACATTCATTCAGTTTCATTTGTTTAGTTTTCCGGCAACGACTGGTGAGCGGGGTGGAAAATTCAGTGTGAGTTGTGTGCGCTGTATAAAATGTTTAGAAAAATTCGGGGAAATTCAGCATTTTATCGAAAAGAAAACCCATCGGATCGTGTTCAATAGAGTCCTTGAATCCTGTGCAGGATATTGAAGTGCCTAGAGAGATTTAGCTTGGCAAGTGGTAATCAAACACCTGTTTGCCTTGCGAAATTCTCAGTAAAAAAACACAGTATACAATTTAAAAGAATTTTAAATGAAAAATTATTTCATTCTAAGCCCTTGAAATTATTATTTATAGGTTTCATTAAAAGTTCTGTTTTCAAGTTAATTATTCATTTGTTTATGTTTCTGTGGAGTTCTCCCGGCAAGTCATTGCCAGCTGGCAGAAAAAAATCAATATCGAGAGCTGGGTACAAAAAGAGAGTGCTTTCTCTCTTGCCCTTAATTAATACTCTCTTTTTGTGGCATTGCGACTCTTTAGCCGCTTCTGTTCGGGAGTTTTTGTGTTTTGTTCCAACGGCTTTGGCCAATTTAAAACCATTTTTGAGCTCAAAAAATTGGTTTTAAAAATAGTTTCCTCTGTGAAAGTGATTTAATTTTTTTGTTTTTAATTTAAACCATGTTTTCGCAGTTGCTAGCGGCTTTCCAGCGGCTTGTAAGTCAATTAAAAAGTCAATTTGTGTGGGTTCACTGCTGGTTGCCATTACCGCAACATTTCTACGGCTTCCGCCGGGAAACTGAGTCACGGACACGGTTACGGTTACGGGCGAGGGAGCGCTTGCACCGGAAACCCGACGAGCGGGCAGACTACCAACGAAATTGGAGGATTTCCCGCCGCCACCTGGTCATGGACTACATCTTCGAGTGCTTCTTCGACGACACCTTTGACCAGATCACGCGTAACGGCCTGCAGGACCGCCAGTCTCGCCGCGATGTCCTTGACCATCTGAGTGCCATAATCAAAGGCTGCAGCGAAGGGCAGGATACGCAGACAGAGGAAGTGGCCGCCATAGCAGTTCTAGCCGCCATGCGCTTCCATCGCCTTGCCAAGGAGCAGAACGGAAAGGTGAGAGGTCAAGCTACCGTTATTTATCACAAAATTCAAAATCAAAATTGGGTTACTTTGGTGAATTAAGTAAAATTGATATCCAGGATCTAGAAGTTTAGGTTTTTTTTTAACTAAATAATTTTAATAATATATTCTTCAAGGCAATTTAAACATTCAAACCCAAAGCCTGATTAAAATAAACAAAAACCGCTTAGAAAACTCGAACCAAGAAACGAAACTAAAGTCCGGCCATAGCAACTGACTTTCAATTAACTTGACACCTAAGCTCAAGCCGATATTCGGTCTTTGGGGATACTGTTTCCCACAAATCATACTTTAAGAAGAGCCCCAGAAGCAATCACAGTGAACAAAATGTCCCAATCTCGAGCCCCGACTCCTGAGCCTCAGGTTGCTGGTACTGCCATCAGTCAGCCGCAAGTAAAGATTGGACATTATCTCCTGGGTGCCACCTTGGGCATCGGCAGCTTTGGCAAGGTGAAGATTGGCGAGCATCGACTAACCCGCCTCAAGGTGGCAGTGAAGATACTTAACCGACAGAAGATCAAGAGCCTCGATGTTGTCGGTAAGATACGCCGGGAGATTCAGAACCTGAAGCTCTTCCGGCATCCGCACATCATTAAGCTGTACCAGGTCATCTCTACTCCCTCGGACATCTTCATGATCATGGAGTACGTGAGCGGCGGGGAGCTCTTCGATTATATTGTCAAAAATGGCAAGATGCCGGAGCATCAGGCGCGTCGCTTCTTCCAGCAGATGATCTCGGGCGTGGACTATTGCCACCGGCACATGATCGTCCACCGGGATCTGAAGCCGGAGAATCTGCTGCTCGATCACAACATGCACGTCAAGATTGCTGACTTTGGACTCTCAAATATGATGCTGGATGGAGAGTTCCTGCGCACCTCGTGTGGCTCCCCAAACTATGCTGCTCCGGAGGTGATCTCTGGCAAGCTGTATGTTGGCCCAGAGGTGGACATTTGGTCCAGCGGCGTCATCCTATATGCTCTGCTCTGCGGCGCTCTACCCTTCGATGATGATCATGTGCCGACGCTGTTTCGTAAGATAAAGTCGGGTATTTTTCCGATTCCAAAGAACATGAACATGCAGGTGGTGAATCTGGTGTGCCAGATGCTGCAGGTTGATCCGCTCAAGCGGGCCAATATTGAGGAAATCAAAAAGCACAATTGGTTCCAGAAGGATCTGCCTGCCTATCTATTTCCCACGGCCTCCGAACAGGACTCCAATGTCATCGACACCTACGCTGTGGCCGAGGTTTGCACCAAGTTTGGAGTGACGGCCAGCGAAGTGCACAGTGCGCTCCTCAGTGGTGATCCTCATGATCAGCTTGGGATCGCCTATCATCTGATTATTGACAACAAGCGCTTTGCCGATCATCAGAGCAATGAGATAAATAATTTCTTTATGGTCGAATCACCATCAGTGCCGCCGCCGCCGCCGCTTGAAGCACCATTGTCCCGTGTGACCGTAGGCGTTGGTGGCTCGGGTTCCAGCTCGGGTAGAGCCACCCCAGTGCCTCCGTCTAGTTCCAACCGGCCACATCCGGAAAGGATTGCTGTGAGGAACAACCATCAACTAGCCATGTCTGTTCAAGCCTCGGGTGGCGGTGCCTTCCCTGAGAAGGTAGCGCGCACCGGAACTCCTGTTAAGCGTGCCAAATGGCATTTGGGCATTCGGTCTCAGAGCCGGCCCTATGACATAATGCTGGAGGTGTACCGAGCAATGAAGACTCTTGGTTACATGTGGAAGATCATCAATCCGTATCATGTGCGCGTCCGCCGGCTGAACAAGAAGACGGGTCAGTTCTCCAAGATGTCGTTGCAGTTGTACCAAGTGGATATCAAGAGCTATCTGCTCGACTTCAAGTCGCTGACCAATGAGGAGGTGGAGCAGGCCGACGATGTGACTACGGAGAGCCAAACGGGTCATAACACCATGGAGTTCTTTGAGATGTGCGCAGATTTAATTATTCAACTTGCACATTAAGGAGCCTATAATCCTCTAAGGATAGCACACCACACCGCACAAAAGAATAAAGAGAAGCTCAAAGCTCACCTCGGAGGCACCTTTTTAAATCATTTTAACCAAACTTATTCCATATATACACATTTTATATTAATAAATTGTAATCAAAGGGAAGGTTTTGCCTTTAATCCTTGAATAAACCAATCAAAACCTAATTTTTAGTGAGCCTCTTTAGTACAGCTTGAGGCTTCAATTACCTTTGATTTAAACTAGAGCGCCTCTATGAAGTTTTATTCTATATATACATTTTCCTGCAGGTATGCCTCATGGGCAAATACCATAACATCCTGTATATCGGCCTGCGCACCTGCTGGGATTGGGGAGTGCGCGACTCCGAAGTGGTCGTTCAGCTCTTGGGTGAGTACAAGGAAAAGGGCGGCAGAAGCAAGAGTTGGATATGGGAGCCCTTTGCTTCAAACCAAACTCAAAGAGGCAGCCCAGCTAAATAATTTAATTTATGTGCATATGTATGCGGTGGGACATTCATTCCCCTGTGTGTGCACTGAAATAATTTTAAGTAAACGTAGAAAAACTTATTTTTTTAAGGGTAAATATAGCATTGAAAACTATTGGGGTCAACTTATAATTTCAGTCAGTTACAATGTTGACACTTTGAAAAATTGACAAAAATTTCAATATTTAAAAAGTGTAATTTAGGTATGCAGATTTATTAACCTATTAAAAACTAGCACAGAACAGCTTTCCGATTGAGAATTAATGCATTTTTGGCTAAGTAAGGAGTTACCTTCATATAAATATATAAACAAATATCGCTCTTGCGGGCTATTATAATTTGAGTCAGGAGCTTAAAATTCAGTGAAGGAGTCATTTCCGACCCCATAAATCATATTTATTCTTGATCAGCATCAGCAGGCGAATTTTTCTAGGCAATTAGGAAAGAAATTAATTTTTTTTTAATTTTTTCAACATTTTTTGACAGGATTTTACATAATTGGCACTTTGAAAAATTGACAAAAATTTTAACGTTTAAAAAATGTAATTAAAGTATGCAGATTTATTAACCGATTACACACTAGCATAGAACAGCTTTCCGATTGGGAATTAATGCATTTTAGCTAAGTTATGAGTTTTTTAAGCTGTGGGTTTTAGAAAAATCTTCATATAAATATATAAACAAATATCGGCCTTGCAGGGTATTATAATTTCAGCCAGAAGCTTAAAATTCAGTGAAAGAGTCAGCACCGCTTTCCGATTGGGAATTAATGCATTTTTGGCTTAGTAATGACAGATTTTCTCTTCCTCTTTTCCTGTATTTTTATATTATTAATCGAAGACAGAACCAAGAATGTTATTATTATTATTCTTATTATTATTATTATTTACCCAATTTTCTTTCCTGTGTATTTGATTCTCTGAATGTTTTGGGGCGTGGCAGTTAGCTTTGCATATTTTAATGAATTTTATCCCATCGCATCAGATTATTACGCCCATAAGCTGCCTGGCACCCAGAAAGGCAGGCATACAGGCAGGCAGTTTTAACTTTAATCACGTGTTTCTGCTAATTGCGTTAAGAAAGTGTTGCTAATGTCGTTCTGCTGTTGTTGCCGCTGCATCGTAAAACTTGTAAAGTGCCTTAAAGTGTTGCAAGTTATTTGGGGCGCACATGCGTCTATTTGTGTGTTTTTGTGTCGGCTCTAATTAAAATGCTGCGTAAAGTTTGCAAAACGAGGGCGAGGAGGTCTGGGGAAAGTGCCAGAAATTAATGGCATGCCTCTGTCATGGGATCTCTGGACTCGTGTGCAATAAAACTTGCTCCCTGTTTGTGTTGTCGCCACTTTTCCCCACCCTTCCTCATTTTGTTGCCTTATTTTTGCTAACTACAAGCCTGGCTGGTTCATGGCAAACATTTTGCTCAGTTTCCGTTTTCCGCTGACTTCATTTTCGGTGCCAAAAAAAGCCACAAGCTACAAAGGGTTGGAAAGGAAACCGAAAAAGCCAAAGGGAGTCGGCCAAGCAGCAACAAGTGCAGCCACGTAATTAGCTTTTTTATGGCTCCTGCCGCTGCGATTTTGATGGCATTATTTAAGAGAATTTTTTTCTTGGAAAGTATGCATAAATAAATATATGCATATCCTTGTTTTTGGGGTAATAATCTTACAAGCTTAAAAACAGTAATATAGCCAGGGAAACTGTAATCTTAAATGAATTATTCTTCTTTTAGTTTGTTATCTGTTTTTTTCTTTTAAATGTACTAAAGCTTATTACCCTTTAAACTAACATATATTCTTTGTCCAACACAGGAGCCATTTATGAGTGCGAAAAGACCTTTGAGCGGATTTTCCTCGGCGCCTTGTTTGGACCACATGCTCCACACTTTATCGCCGGCTGGCGCAGTGACTTCCAGGATCAGGTGAGTGACTGACAGCCCCCTCTCTCCCTCTGGAAATCCCTACTGCATATAGACCACCCTCCTCCACCCATTTTGGGGATAGACATCCATGTAAGCCCTTTGTTTGCAGCACGAGAATGTCCGGGCCATGGTTTACTTTGTGAAGCACGCGACACGCGAGAAACTCACGCTGCCCGTCTGGATTCCGCGTTTCGAACAGGAGCGACAGCTGAGGTGAGTCCTTGCATGCTTTCTCCTTTCTCCCTTCAACTTTCACTGCTTTTCCCCGCACTTTCTCTACTGGCTTTCATGTGTCAAACCAGCGCTCTTTTGCTGCCCCAAGCAATTTTCACACTGGCCGGGTTAATTGGATAGTTGGATAGTCAGGGGGAAAGGTGGAGCACCATATCCGCAGGAACAGATTGTTGCATCGCCTTCATGGCCTGTGTCCTGACATTTATGATGTCCCTATTTCAGAAAATCAAGATGTGGCATTTAGTAAGCTTTAGCGAGAAAGACCATGAAATCCGTTTATCTAAATACTTTGCGTTTTATGAATATTGTTTAACCATTTCCGTAGAGAAAAAATTTATTAAAAGAATCCCTTTGTAGGGATTTTTCTTACAGCAGTTTTCCAACCATAATTATTAATGATGAGTTTGTTCTCATAATAATTATGTTTTCGGTTACAATAAGATACTGTAAATAACCGCTGGGAATACAAGAGAAGAGAAGAGGACTGACGCGAAAGTGTAAAGTAACCGGGGAATGAAAGGATTTTAATTAAATTAATACATCAGCCATTGTTGTGGCTCGTGTAGGTGTAGTTGGCATACGTGTCTGTCTCTGTGTGTGTGTGTGTGTGTGTGTGTGTGTCTGCCATAATTGAGTGAAAGATGGCGACACTTTACAACCACACCCGCACAGCTACAAATACACTTGCTTGCACAATGGCCGCCGCCGCAGCGAACGCTCTCAATCACTGGCGCTGCTCACTCCGCTCCGCTCCTCTCACTTCTCTCACTTCTGCTGGTGTCATGTATAATTAAGATTTTCATTTGCAGCTGGCTGTGGGGGAGCTTGTCTCATTTTTCCACCCCACTTTCCACATTTTCCCCATTCTCCAGTAACCGAGATTTATGCACATGTGTGAGTGTGTTGTATCTGATGCGATAAGCTGAAAACCAACAGGCAGCGATGTAAACCTTTTGTTATTTCGGCTTTGTTCGCCAGCACTCCGGAGGATTAAAGTCAAAAATGCGTGTAATAAGAGCACAAAGCATTCTCAACCCAACCACGCCCACTAATCCACTTCAGTGCTGGCTATTTGGCGATATTTAAGCTATTGGCAAGGGTTAAGAAATGAAATCTTTAGAGTCTTTGGTTATTTGTTTTATATGTTAATCTCTTGGAATTTATACATTATTTAGTTCAATAACTGGCAGCTTTCTATTTGATATACAAGAAACTGAATTTTTTTTATATATTACCGCAAGGTTTTTTAAAGAAAGTTTGCTCTAAGTTAAATTTGGTTAACTTTCCTTTTAATTAAGTCTGAGGTAATATTTAATCAAAGGAACTTCCTGGACTTTAAGCACCACTTTCAACAGTTTTTAGCCCCTTTTTCTGAGGCCAAATGGTCAACACTGTTTCACCCACATTGGATACACTGACTGTTTGCGCTTCTTGAGCAAACAGAAGACAAAAAACTGACTGCAAACATTAAGACGACATTTATGATGCCCTCTCGCAACAGCGGCCAAAGTCATGAATAAGCGTTAATAGCTGCAGTTGTGTGTGGGTGGAACATATGTGTACGTCAGAGAGAGAGAGAGAGAGTGTGTGTGTGTGTGTGTAAGGTGGGCGTTTGTGAGGGGGTGTGTGAGTAAAGGGAGGAGCTGTGAAAAGCAAGCAATGTGACAATAAACGTTTTGGCCAAATGCCGTTAGAGCTGCATAAATCAGTGTTGAAATAGCATATTGCTAAAGTTCAACTTCTAAGAAGAACACTGGGAAAAAATATTAAGAATAAACAAGTAAAATAATAGATTGTAATAATTATATATTATATATTGTACGGTATTATATTTTAGTCAGAAGCTTAAAACGCAGTGAAGGACTCGTTTCCGGCCCTATAAGCCATATATATTCTTGATCAGCATCAACAGGCGAATCGATCTAGCTATGTCAGAGCAAAATTAATTTTTTTCAAAAATTTCAAAATTTTATAAGGGGTTACATCGTTAAAATGGTCAAAAATTGATCCAAATTTCAATTTGTTATAATTTTAAAATTGAGTATGCAGATTTATTACTATCAAAAACTAACAAAGTAAAGCTTTCCGAATGAAAATTAATGCATTTTTGGCTTAGTTATGAGATTTTTAGACTTTCATTTGTAGGAAAATTTGTCATATGAAAATATCAATTGAAAAATTCGGAATATTGAGAGGTTAGTTAATTTTTCAAGGCTTTTACTATATTCAGATAGTAATTTTACAGTAAGTTTCATTACTCCACACCACTATTAGGCATTATCTACAGACTGGTGGGCTAACCTGTTGACTAGACCGCGCTCCCTGTATAAGACATTTCCCAGAAAATCTCTTGCAATTTCCCTGCATTAGCTACAAATTTTCACTGTAAGGTGAGAAGCTTAAGCCGCAGCTAATGCCCTACATTAGACAGAAATTTGATTTGTCAGCCCACGCACTCATCGGCTGATTAAATTGTTAATGTTTGATTTAACGGTGCAAATCAGTTGCGAGGGCTGGCATATTCCTGCCCCGAAGGACACAAATCCTGCACGAGTAGATTTGAGAAGTGAAACTGTCGCTGGATGTGAGTGGTGAATGTCTTGATTCGTACTGGGACTCGCTTTTATCGCTGCCAATAAAACGCAAATGAATTTGCCAAGGCAATTTCCCAGCTGTCATCGGGATGGTGGCTCAAAATGCGCTTATCGTACATTCGCCAGCGTAGGTGTAACGCTGTGAGGGTTACTTCCGGTTTATTGTGGTTTTTGCTCTTTTATTTGCCTACTTTTATGCGTAGACATAAAAGCTGAATGCGATTTCGCATCTGTGTGTGTGAGTATGTGTGTGTGGGTGTAAGAGTGTAACAGTATTGTGTCGCAAATGTGCTCTAAGTGCATTGTACATGCTAATGCCTGAATGGAGACAAACGCCTTCCACTTACTAACCGCATTACGTATACGCAGTGTGAAAATGAGGCAGCACTGGAAAAACTGGCGAGAAAAATTTCAGAAATAAAAACAAATAATTGCAGAAACCTAAAAAAATTAAGATAATTGCAAATGTATGTAAATAATTCTTAGAAATTAAAAGGAATTAAAGAATTTTCTGTAAGAAATTTCGACTTAAATACATTACGTTGTTTATTATGCATTACATTTTTTACACTAAAATCCGTTTTAAATGAGAGAAAGATCCCTTACTTATTTATTTATTTATTTTGTGATCCGCATTATGTTTTCTCCATGTGCCTTTTTATATATAATCTGAGGGCAAGCAACAAGCGAGTAGCTTAATTGAGGTCTGGCACTCATTTTCCCATCTCCTGTTCGTCCTGCTAATGTGGGAAGCCCATTTTGATGCTTGTCGCCCATTAAAGCTGCCACAAAGAGTGGCCTAAACGCAATTTTGTGACATTTACTCACTCCAGCTATGACTTTGACTCTGACTTTTCCGTATCCGGTTCTTTGTACATTTTTTTTGTTTTCTTCTTGCAGATTCATTGATGTCCCCATTGAGTCCTGCGGAAAGTCTTCGCCCCTACGCATTGCCCTGCAAGCGAATGCGCCCGAAATGTTGCTCATACTGCTGAGGTAAGTTATGGAGAGGAAGGAAAATTCAGGGAAATTCCTTGAAAGAGAGGGGGGACAAGAAAATGTGTGTCACTTCAATTAGCGCGAAATATGCAAAGCGGTCGCCACTTGGCGGCGCCGCAATGTATGCAACATAAAATACAAGACGCTTAGCATAAGCAAGTGGTCGCAAGCCACAGAAAAAAACAAGGGTATAAAGAACGCACTGAGAGAGCCCAAGGAGAAGATAGAGAAATAAAAGGAAAAAATTATCATTAAATATGAAAGTCGCTGCCAAAGCGAATTTGCATCACAAGGCAGTCTCCGCTGAGTCTCATGGTCCCTTCGTCGTCGTCAAAACTACGAAAAAAAACAGCTTGTAAAAGTTACGAGCATGCACTCCAAGGCAACAACAAGAGGAAAATTTCAGAAAAATAACAAAAACTAGAGGCGTGCCCTCAGCCGAGATTCATAAATTTATATGTAAACGCCTGCAGTTTTTGTCCTTCGTCCTTGACTTTCGCCGTCCCCGGCAATTTATTGTTTCTTAACTTGATATTGCCGCCGCCACGCCCCATTGCCATACAGCAGTTCGCCCAGCCAGTTTGTCCCGGCTTGATCTTTGATTTTTGATGCAGCTCCAAAAAAGTATGTTTTGCATAAAATGTGAATATTGATTGCGAGCCAAAAGAGGCGAGTCACAACAAAGTATCCGGCGACGGCGGCGGAGGCGGTGGTGTCCTTTTTGACGGCTCAAGCGAAACTTTCGACTAAGATACTCAGCTGTCGAAAGTTTAATGCGAAGGTTAAGGGAAAAGCGGCTTGAATATCATTAGGTGTCTGAGTTTTTGGCAAAAAATTATACAATTTTCTGGGTTGCTCACTTTAACGGGGAAGGTTTTACAAGTAACTTAGAATTTAACAAGGAAAATTTGAAGAATAGAGTTGATTTTAATTGTAAGTGGTAGTTTTAAAATGATATTATTATGTTCTTTGATTCCTTATTATAAAAGGCTTAAAGAAAATGTATTTTAGAACGCTATTCCCTGATCATAAGGTTCCCTGTTTACAGTTTCTCTGTTTTAGATCCGTAAATTAATACAAATTATTGATAATCTGTCTACCCCAAGTTTACCCTGTAATTAACCTTCTGGAAACTCAATTCTTTTTCGAACTGCCCCTCAAACAGGCTTTCAATAACGCTGCCAAATTAAATTCCAAATGATTTCTTTCGAAATTCCTTGCGCCCTTTTTGGCGATGCCCTTAAACAATTTGCAACATTAATTTTGCCTTTGTAATCCAACGAAATTAAAAGGGAATTCCGCGCCTTAGAGGAAGGAATTCGTATTATGCGGCAAAGGAGGCCAGCTGTGCATAGTGATTTGTATGGAGGACATGGCATGAGATTGAGATTCCCGCCAGCTGTGCTGATTGCACGAGGCAAATTGCAATTGCAATTGCAATGGCTTCGATTGATGGCAACTGTTTGAGTTGGGCTTGCCAATTCCCCGCTGGCCGTTTTCCCCGAGTTTTTCCTCCTGCTCCCACAATTTCCACCAACCGTTTCCCTGAACAAATAGGAGGTGGAATTGTCAGTCTCCCTGTTGGCTTCTGACTCTGGTTCTGTTTCTGTTTCTGTTTCTGTTTCTGCGTCGTCGCCTTTCCGCTTGGACTGATTTTGATTCAGATGCTGCGGCTGCTATTTCAGTTACTGATTCCGATGCTGATTCGGCCATAAATTCTCGATATTGTTTCGCTTTTGTGTGTTTTAATTTGCGTTTCGCTTTTCGCTTTGCTGCATTTTCATTTGAAATTGGCCATAAAATATGCAAATGGCTGTGTGGTGAGATGTATTATATTTTCTAGCCACCTCTTCTTCCCATTCCCTCTCCTTTTTATCGTTTTGGACCGCGCTGCAAAAGTGATTTACTTGTGCATAATTGCGCATACGCCATGTTGTTATGTGGCCAAAGAAAAAAAATGGCAATGCTTATGTATGATGTCCATGTGAAAACACCAAATAAATAAGGGAAACATATAAATTACAGTGTTTATCAGTCAAAAAGACGATGAGCGAGGGAAATGCAGACTTTTGACAAACATTTTCAATTTAAAATGTGACAACATGCATGGCGCCATTCGCCATTTTCCACACACATGCCACAATTTGCACTTCATTTGCCATTCACTCAGGTCCGTCTGAATACACAGGAAAGAATATACTACAAAGTATGATTTTAGTCATAAATAATGTAATAAAAAATCTATATCTTAATTCAATATTATTCCATTTACTGCAAGACTCAAAACTATTTTATACAGTTTTACAATATACTCTGTATAAAGTAATAATTCTGAATTCAAAAACTTTTCCACCATAGTTTTTGTGCACTGCACATTTTCCTCTGTCTCTGTGTGAGTATGTGCAACTGACACAACCGCGAGCCATGTCTGTTCATTATTTCATTTGTACATTGTGTTTATCAGGGCATCTAGCATTTATTGCGCCCACCTCTCGGGCAGACACCACCGCAGCCCCTTTTGCATTGACCGCAAGCAAACCAACTACGTGCTGGCAGCTTGTAACTCATTTGCAAACAGTTACCCACTCCTGACCGCTGCCACGCCCTTATTCATTTGCCTCCTCTCCCCCACCACCCCTTTCCGTTGCAGATACGGGGCCACACCACAGCCGCCGGATGGAGGCGCCTCTGTAATTATCGCGCTGCTCGACAAACTCATCGAGAATGGGCGCAATTACAGTTACGAGTTGGTCATGTGCCTGAAGATATTGCTGCGCAATGTAACCATGGTTGAGATGCCCTTTAAGGTGAGTATGGGGGGGGAGGTGATTGGGATAGATAATAATTTACGTGGCTAAGAAACTAATGAAAGGGCAATAAGGAGAATGGAGATATGAAGGGTAAAGATATACGTATGAGAGTAATTTCTAAGATAACTAAAACTATATACATAGTTACTCAGAACTTTGTACAGATATATTAATGAAATTACTTTTATAACAATAATAAATTTCTGTGATTAAAGAAATTTAAGGATGCGTTGATAATATTAAGGAAGTATTGGAAGAAAAGTTAAATAAGTTGGGAATTTGCATATCTTTTGCATTAAAATCTTTCAGGTTTCAAAATACATATCTTAGCAAGCAATGTTAGTTAGTATTTATTGGCTAGACTTAAACCATATTGAGTTAATAATAAATGCTGACCACAACTATTCCTTTTCCTTAATTAATCTAATTACTTAACAAATCCCAATTATTTCTCTTCAGCCCCTTTTATACGCCTCCAGACGAGAGATGTTCTTTGAGCGTTACGGCCGCCTGTTGATGGATAAAATTATTGGCAAAGAACAGGTCTATGGAGTGCCCACCCTACGTCACTTATGCCGGTAATTATCAACTTTCGACTGACATTTTCCCAGGGGGACAGGAAAACAGAGACAGCCGCCAAAAGGGAAACTCCTACGGCCACTTGACTTTGTGACTAACAATGAACTGCTGGCCATGTCCATGAATTCAGATGTGGGCATAGAGCCATGGGAAGAGAGATTAGGAAGCCAGAATGGAGATGGAGTCTGACAGCCATAATAAGTTTCACTTTTTTATTCAATTACTTTGGCTTAGGTCCGCCACGCCTGCTTAACTTTCTACGGCAGACAATTTCGTGATAAGCCCGAAAAATGAAATAAGCATAAGACAGGAGCCCAGCTGGCAAAATGACAAACTGACAGACTGACTGACTGAATGTCCACAGAGAGAAATTATTAAATAATCAAATAATATAATCCTGTTAATGTTCAGATTACTTTTATTTAATGTGTCTAAATATTTAATTAGACTAATGCTTCTCGAATAAGAATAGGTTCAAGTATACATTTTGATTTAATTAAATTAAAATCACCAAAGTTTAAACTATCTAATAGTAAAAACTTTTTTCTTGAATAAAGAAAAGTTTCTTAAGACACTGAACTTTGTCACTTGATTAATTTTTTGCTCAGTGCCTGGCCCCGAACCTTAAGTTGACAAGTTTGCTCCGTCCGGACGCTTTTGTCATGTGGCTTAATGCAAGTTTTCCTTTCTTTTCATGTATTGTGTCAAAGTCGGGGTCGAAACTTTGCCGCTCGCTTCACCGACCAGGCCGCAATATATAGTCAAATGTCTGTCGGAGCAACTTAATGAATTAAATCGATGCGAATTTCTTTGCCACTTTGATCGGTGTTTAGTCGAGAACTTTTGCCCACCGGTCTGTGTTTTAATTCGATAAGTTGACGTCTGGTATGTGATGTGGCTCATATGGGACCTCTATGTTTGGGCTCATATATTTGAGCTATATATTTGTGGAGTCCTTGGTGCGGGCACACAAACACGAGATGGAGAAAGAGAACGGGAACAGGAACGGGAACGGAAACGAGATCGAGTACGAATACGAGTATATTTGCCTGCATTCGTTCACGTGTCACAAAAACGTCCATTGACTTTGGCTCTCGTTTCAGTTGAAACTCTGGCCAGCTTGTTTGCCAGTTTGTTTTTCTTTGGCCAATGTTTGCGCTGCGGCAACTCGCGCTCTTGGCCTGCATTTGTAAACAGTCAAGATAGGCTAAGGGGTTCAAGGGAAATAAACAAATTTGATCTTTAAGATAACAAATTATCGTCTATAGTATAGTTTCCTAATATCAATTAAAAGATTGTTGTTAATTGCTTTTAAAGCTGGTTAAATAATTGTATAAAAATAATTCCAAAATAGTTTAAAAATATCTTTCAGGGACATTCTTGTTTTAAAAATATATATGGAGCATTCAATTCAGAATCCCCACTGTACTTATAATTTAGTTGGCGACCTCTTGTCGAGGCTTCAAGTATACCAACTTGAGTTTGAAAGAGTTCTTGTTTTTGTATTCGATTTATATGTGGACTGTGGCAGTTCCCCTTGTTTTTTCTTGCTGACCACTTTGCGATTTCAATTTATGCAGAATGCATCCAAAACGCAGTACGCATTGACCCACAAAAAAAACTTGACGATTTCCTTGTCATAAGCGAGGACATTGCGCATACGCCCCGTCATCTACAATTCCGGTACGGCGCCCACAAGTAGGCAACGCTTTTTTCGGTCCACTTTTTATGCCAGCGCTCCCTCCATTTCTGTGTTCCCCCTCGGGCAGTGTCAGCTTGCTTTATTGATTGGTCGAATTTGTCGGCGGCGACGGCGCTGGCCATAAAAAAAGCCAAAATATTAGCCGAACACAGAAACTTGACGGGTGAAATTAACATGAACATAAAGCTCCGGACTGGGGAGTTGCAAGGCAGCTCCCTGGCAGCCGATTAGCATGTTGTTAAGCTGCCCCAGCGTTTTATGACGCCAATTTGGGTAACACTTCCCGAGGAATTTCGGACAAGTTTCCGCTGCTCCTCTGTCGTCGTCCTATCAAGGCCACTTTAGAGCAGGCTTTCTTCGCATCTGGAAACTTTTCTGCGCCGACTAAGTGCCGGGGCAAAGAAAGAATCCACTACCAATATCCGCTACTTTAACTTCTTCCCTTAGTTGGCAGCAGCATCGTGGCAACTTTAGTGAAAGAAAGTTCCAGTTCGTCTTTTTTCGCTTACGCTTTCTTTTTTTTATATTTTTTCTTCCGCCCTTTCACTCACGAGCAAAGTTTTAAGCACATGAAGTTTGTTTGCCGAGCGTGGATTCTTTGTTCGGCGCATGAGCTTATTGTGAGAAACTTAAATTAATTTATAAAATATCCCGCTGAGATTGACAGGACTCGTGCCCAAAGGCGAGCTCTCAAAGGTCTTGAGTAGCTCGAAAAAAATACATGCCAGGAAACTATTTTTCAGTGTCAGTGTCATTAAATAATATTAAGAAAAGTTGGAATTAAATTGGGTTCTTTGCTTGTCTTATAGATTGTTATGAGCATAAACCAGAATGAAGGGTACTCTATAGAATCCTTGACTAATAGTAAATGAAGGAACTTATTAATAATAATTCGGTTCTTTGCGTGGCTTATATAAACCAGAATGAAGGATACGCCATAGAATCCATGACTAATAGTTGATGAAGTAAATTATTATATTAATAACCCTGCCAAATTTTCCCTTTTTTAAATTATTTTAAATATATTTCTTATTAAGACTTAAATCCTCTTTACAGCTGCAGCATTCGCGATATCCTGCGGCAGCACAATCAACTGCCCAATGGCATTGACACCTTGAGGCTGCCAAAGCGCCTGCAGCGATACATCGATTTAACCGAGGAGCTGGATGGGCCCGCGGTGGAGCCGGAAAAACCGGATGTGCCAAAACCCGCCTCTGCAGCCAGGACAAAGCTGGGAAGCGAGCTGCCCCGCTTGGAAACAATCTCAAGTGCCGGCGAGGAGGATGAGAGCGAGGACGAAAGCGAGAATCATGTCCAGTTGCTGGAGGCGGTTACGGATGCGGAAAAGGCCGCTGTGGCCGCATTTGTGGCTACAAGTGATGGAGCCATTACCCCGGAGGCTAAAAAAGCGGCGATGGCTGCCTACATGGCCAACCTGCCGCCGGACTACGATCCCGAATTGCCACCCGACTTCGATCCCGATTTCCCGCCCCTTTCCAGCTAACACTGGATGGGTAACATAACACTCACCGATAGGTCTCCTCGCTGACATTGATGCGACCGGGCACGCCCGTGGTCTCCGTCCGGCTGGTGAGGTTCACCGTATTCCCGAAGAGACAATAGCGCGGCACGCGGTTACCAATCACGCCCGTGACCACCTCACCGGAGTGGATGCCTATGGTGATTTGCTGAAAATATAAAGAAACAAAGACCTCTTAAAAATTGAGCTTTTAAAATGAATTTATTAAAGAATTTATCTGGGACATAAACAGCAACAGCTGCATTTACAATCTGAATTCCTACACTTATTAATAAAAAGATTGTAAACATTATTACAAAACATTTTGAGATGATTTTGCTTTTGGAAAATATTATAAAACCAATTATTGGCCTGGAAAAACTATAACTGAGCTAATTGGACATTAAGAGAAACTAAAGCTGCCACAAAGTTGTTTATAAAAAAGTTCTTGGCAGCAGAAACTTTTGACTCTTTTCCAACAATTGTTAGTCAGGAAAGTTTTTTGCTTGAATAATAATAAAGTCAATTAAAGTATATTAATTGCAAACTTAAAAGTTGTTTATATTTTTCTTTTCCAAATGATATTTAAACAGAAAATAAGCGAAATTGCAAATAATAAATTTTCCAGAAAATGGAACTTATCTAAGCCATAAAATTCAGCCAGCTTCAGCTTATCGCATAATCCACATTTTCAGGAGAACTTATCTGGAAAATAAAGAGCTGGATGGCTGGCTGGCTAGCAAAGATCGTGGTAAGTGGAAAGGGCACTTCATTGCGCTAATAAACTTTCGCCGGCAAGTCCCATCATCAACACCCGAAAAGTTAGCAAACCGCAACGGAATGTAGCTGGCACAACCAACCGAAAGTTGCCACAATTACTTTCCAAAAACTTGCAGTAGCAGTAGCAGTACGAAAAAGTTTTCTTTAATTAAATTTAAAACGAAATGAGCGTCAGTGGCGACCAAGGCGAAAGAGCAAAAAACTCAACCCCTTTTCACCCAAAAAGTCCTCGTTAGTAGTAGGTGACGATGCTCCGGGTGAAATCAAAAGCTGAGATCGGGTGAAAAAAATTCAGAGTCGTGGGAATATGTGTAAATGGGTAAAGTGCTGCCAACAGGCGGAGATAAAAGCTGAAGGACGAAAGTTGTAATTACCAGAAAAACATTACATAAAACTAATTGCAAAGGCAGCAGGAGCAACCAGCGATAAGGGAGAAATGTCCAAACTTCCAGCATTCAGAGCTGGAAAAATGCAAGGAAAACCGAACCGAAATCCAACTGAAAACTAAATCAAATCAAATCAGAGTAGTGCAATGTGCTGATGAATGATTCAGTGGAAAGAGCTGCAACAAAAAGTCAATCACTTTTTTCCTTTGATTAAATAATGAAGAAAGCTAGTTTTCAGCAACAGAGCACTAAAAGGTCAACACGAATTGTAAAAAAAAGAGCAACTTTCCTGAATGTATACCTGACTTCTATTTAATATATGTATTAGATCATACAAAGATTCTACAGAAAGTCCTAATAAAAACAATTTGATTACATTTTATATATTTTTTTTTGCAACATGCTCTTTGAGCTCAGACAGTCTAGAAATTAAGTTTTCCAGGTTAAGACCTCTGCTTTCTAAATTGAAAGTACTTTCTGAATCAAGAGAAATGCCTGACCAACCTATATACTCGAGGTAAAAGTCAACAGTGTAGCTTTTACTGCCTTTTTCTTTTTATGTATAGAAGAAAAGATGCAACTTTTCAGCAAAATAACAGCACAAATGAAGAATAATCAAGAGCCACATGCTTTCTAATTTCTGGAAAATTTCCAGTTTATTCTTAGAGTTCGGTCAAGATATATATGGCTGTGAGGGAGAATGATTTTTCCTTGGTTCTGTCCTGGTCTTGGCACCCGAGTGTATAAAATACATAGTAACTGCAGAAAGTTTTTTTTTTGCTGAAAACCGAATCAATATTTATGGACTGCAAGCACAGGAAGTAGCTAACAAAGCAAAGCGGGAGGCAAACAACGTCGATGAGGAGGAAAATGAAAAGCGGGAAGGCCGAAGCCAAAGTTTTTGCATGAAGAAAAACATTGGTATAATTGGCTTCATAAATGGAGGGGGAGAGCAAAGCTTTTCCCGGTTGCCTGCTGGATGGCAGGATGACTCGCTGCTGCTGCTGCTTTTTATCAGGATTTAATGAAGCGCAAAATGACGCCAGTGGCGGAGAAGGGAAAAGGGAGATCCATGGGCGAGAGGGCAGTGCAACAGGCTCTGGTGCGGTGTCCCAGTTTTTGCCTGCAATTCCCATCCTCGCGGCGTTCGTTAATTGCATTTGGAGCGATCTATCAAACGTTGACTCGCCTCGATGGAAGCGGTTGTCGAGTTCCCCTTTTTCTTTTTTTTTTTTGTGTGTGTGGAACCTGAACGGCTTTCGTCTACATTACCAAAAGCAATCAGTCAAATATGAAATACTGACAACCGCAAAAACTTGACTGCAGTTGTGGCAAGATGGCCAAGAAGGATGTAGAAGAGCAACCGGAGGCGGAGGTCTGAAGGCAGATGGATGATCCTCGCAAGCGGAGGTAGGAGGAGAAGAGCTTGCTTGGAGCCACAGGCAAGACGATAAGGTAATGGAATTTTAGCTAACAGAAAAACAACAACTCTGACAATAAAGCCAAGTGACACGATTCCCAGCCAGAGTTCTCCGGTTGTGAGTGTGTAGTTATGGCCCACGCACTCAAATTCTGGAATATGTACACAATAGGGTGGATCTTTGCTTTTAATAATTGAATTTTAACGATAAGACCATTAATTTTAAAAGAAATTTAGTTTCAAAACGTATATATTTAAGAACTGATGATAACAATAACTGGCTTAAAACTGTAATCAGCTAATTTGCTGTGTGTTATTGATATTATAAGGCACAGTAAGTTATGTCAGCTCAATTCAAGTACCTAATAAGATATTTAGTATATAAATTTACCTTGAATATAACTAAGTTTTCGGGTACACAGCACCTAGAACCACCCTAATATTCATACAGATGCCAAGACATGTGCAAAAAGTGACTGACAAGCCACAAGCATTGTCCACACGTACAATGCTGTAATTGTGAAGGATGCCATCAAGTGGGGCATCCGCATCCTCATCCTCATCCTCGTCCTCGTCCTCGTCCTCAGCCTCGTCTTTCGTCTTCGTCCTCGTCCTCGTCCTCGGCCACGTCCTGGCCCTCGCCCAACCGCCCCCTTGCTGTGGATAAGCCACTGCCTTGTCAAACCCCCCTTTGAGCCCCTATCTGTGGCCCTGCATGTGTGCAGTGTATTTTAAGCCTGGGCACTCAAAGCAAAAGTGTTTAAGCCAAAAAAAAAGGAAAAAAATACAACAAAAAATGAAAGATAGTGGCAGTAGCAGGCAGGCGGTTGGTTGGCTGAGCCTCCTAGTTGTCCTAGTCGTCCTGCCGCTTATCCTCGCCGTCTCAACGTCTCTGGTGACAGTTGACGGTCAAGTGGCAACTGGCAAGGTTCCGAGACCCTGGACCATGGAACGATAGTATGTCCTTTGACATTGTGTGTCATCAATTTTGAATTAATTTTAGCAATTTTCGCAGTTTTCGAACCCAAACTTTTCGCATAAAACTTTGTGAGATGAACTTTTTTCTTCTCTCTCTCGAATTGTTGCTGTACCGAGTTGTTAATATTTTACGTGCACTTGCCACTCAATCCGGCTGTTGGAGAGCTTTAAGATGGGGGTTAAGGATGGCTCTGGGTGCCAGACATTGAAATTTATGCGTCATTGAGTGTTGTTGTTGCTCAAAATGGCGAATTGCAAACGGCGAACAGCGAACAGCGAACAGCGAATGGCGAATGGCGCATTCAGCAACAAATTGCAAGAGCATGCTCGAGTTGCATGCTCACACGAACGAACACAATGGGACGAGCGGGACAGTTTTTCCAACTACTTTCAATGCGCACAATTAGAGTGACGGCCCCCTGGAAAAACCCTCAAAAAGACCCACATTTCCCACCGCCACCCCTCTGCGGGTTCTCCAGCAACTTGCAGCATAAGTTGTCAGTTTGTGAATGCATTTTTTGCACTTGTTTGACAAAAGCTCAGCATAAATGTGGCACAAAAGGAGCAATGCCAAGATATAAAAATATAATAAACGACGGATAACAAAATAATTCCATTTATTTAAGAAGAAAATAACTAGTTTCACAAATTGTCTTTGTGGAAAATATAAATGATATTAGGAACAGCAATGCACTATCCAATTTGATTTCCTATGCCTTTATTTTGGGGATAAATACTTTGTTTCTCTAAATTTTATTATAGAAAACATAAAAGAACTTTAACATATCCTCCTAGTTTACCAATAACAATGTTATCATAAACAAGTTACTCGCTAGCTTGACCTATCATATATCGTCGTATATCGTTCGCTTTCCCTTTAACCCTGATAATTGATGAATTATTTTCCTACTCACCACTGGATTGGAGCCCATTTTAACGTTCTTGGCCATGTCCATCATGTCCAGGGCCACCCGTGCCATGCACTTGGCGTGATCCTCACAGTGGTCAGGCAGCCCCGATACGGCCATGTACTTATCGCCAACGGTTTCCACCTGAAAGGATGAAAAGGACATGCCAATGAGTTCGTGCTATCGTGGGAAAATTGAGAGGTGACCCGAAAAAAGGGGGGCGAAACTGCATCGTTTTTGTGGCTGGGGTAAAAAGTGTAATTAAGTGGCCATAGCTATAGCCATCAGGCGACGTGCATTTGAACTCTGACCCCACCTTGTACACGTTCAGGTTACGCTTGGAGTCGGTTAGAGCGTCGAAGACCGTGTAGAGCTCGTTGAGCATTTTCACGATTTTCATGGCCCCATCGGGATCCGTGTTGGCCGCACAATATTGGCCAAAGCCCACGATGCCGGAGAACATCAGCGTCACGGAGTCGTAGCTGTCGAAATGGAAGTGAAAAAAATACAAGTATTTGCCATAAATAAACACTTGAAAATATATAGTAAATTGTTTGTATTTTCTTTCAGCATATGGAAAGGAAATGC